TCTATTCTCGACCAACCTTCATAGCCTAAATATGTGTGAGCCGGCTGGAAAGGCCCATTAAAGGATCACATCATTGCCTTCTTATAGTGAGCATATAGATCTCATGTAGAGGATCCCTCACCTCCCCGTGCACAACTCACTACAATACATGTAGTGGTACACGTCCTCACTGACACGATGAGTTATTGGGTAAACAAACGGTTATGGCTCCTCTCTATCATGATTAGGGAATATATCCCACCTATATATACCCTTTCTCTCTACACGATAACGTATCTTGGATCCATCACTTTTATGAATTGTTACTTTGTCAAATTCTAGAGTCACCGTGCCCTTACACATTCCCTCTCTCTCTCAGACATATCTGAGAAGGTACTCTCCGTAACTCTCCTAAAATTTTGGTCCATACCACTGCTCCTTGAATACCTACACATCAATATATCAATATATTATATCCCATAGGGATACAAACCTATATCTATTTCGAGTACAACTCAGTTTTAAATTTATTTATGTGCTTATACTAAAATTTGATTCAAAATTTGTACGAAAGATTCGTACTTGTCACCCGAAAAAAAGAAAGAAAGACAAATATGACTCTTTTTTTAATGATAATATAGTTGATTTTTATTCAAAACAAAAAAAGGACGTCGTTTAAATTCATATTCACGTATAGATTTTTATGAAATAATATAATTTAAATATTATTCTATTATTTTAATGTAAAGCCTAAAAAAAATTAAATTTTAATAAAATTATATTATTCTTATTAAATTTGAATGCAAGCTAGCATTCTTTTTCTTCATTAGAACAAATGTGTTTTTGAACTCAAACTCAACTTCGGTTGTTTCAACTAATGACTAACCACTATTGGGCCGACTTGTTATTTTTAAAACATATAAATTTAAGCATTACATATAATTAAATCATAAAATTTTAAAAACAAGAAATTAAAATTAAGAGATATTTTATAATATATTTTGAAGTAAATTATATGTATGCAAAATATTACCATATGCTGTAAAAGGTATTGATTTAAGTCATTAAATCTTATAATTTATTTTTAATTTAAAAACTATAAGTTTCAAAATGTTGTGCAACGTTAACATTAGGTTATATCTGGTCAAATAGAAATTTGATTCCAACCAGAACCAAAAATACACTGAATTAGAACCAAAACTCGATCTCATTAATTTTGTATGGAGTCGGGTTGAGACCATGCTGAATGTTAAGAACCCATAACATAATTGAGACCTTTATTATTATTATTAGAGAATAAAAATAATCATCCACTAATGACTAAGGTAGTATTTGGTTCATGAGAAATTTTGTTTTACTAGGGAAATGTAAATACTGGGGTTCTGCGGGAAAAGTGAGTTATATAGGAAAGTTTAAAAAATATTGTTTGGTTGGACAAAATTTTACCAGAAAAATTGAGTTAAATAACTGAATGTGTGTTTCGTTGAAGATAAAATATTGATGGGAAAATTTAATAAAATTACAAAAAAACCCCAAAAGAAATAAGGTAATATTGTTTTAAAACTTATTGAATAAGTTGAGTGATTATTGGAGTTGCACTGCATTGTACTGTTCATGCCATTTCTGACTTTGTTATGCACGCAATGGGCGGTGCAATCTTGTCATGCTCATGCACCCATTTTTTATTTATCCGTTTTCTATCAGCAATACCACCTTTACAAAAAGGCTTTCTAAACACGGTTGAAATCCAACTTTCACTTGTTATCATCAATTGCTAGACTTCCTTCATTGATGGGCAACATAGACCAAATCCTTCTACCAAACGTGGAGAAGGAACAATCTCACTTTCACTTTGCCAGAAAAATATTGACTTCTCCCCAACTAAACACTACCTAAAGAACACTCCCAGGGTATTCACAATATACAAAGAATATGGACCATTTGGGAAGTACATGACAATTTAAGGCACGCTTAGTTGATTAGTCATTTAAAGTAAAGTTTACATGACAATTTAGATTATCAAAAGTCTTAATATAAGAGTGATTTGACTAATTTGTAAAATAACATGTCACATTGTGAATTAGTGAATTACCCCTTATGGTTGAACATTTCTTTTTAAACAATATTGTAAATTATCTCTTAACTGAAACAAAGAGGTTTTTATATTAAATAAAAAGTCTAATATTAATCAAAAGGCATAATAACGTCACGTCCACAATTTCACATTTTCACATTGTGAAGTACCTCTTCATTCAAATGAAGACATTTGCACTGAATTAAAAAAATAATATTGAATAAAACCGCGATCGATCGATCGATTGATTAAGGAGCAAATACTTAAATATATGAATATTTAATATAAGACAGGGAATAATATAATTTTTTTGAAATAATCATTTAAATCTAAACTAATAAAAACAGGTAATTATTTACAATAATGTAATTTTGTTTGATGACTCTAATTTACTGACTTAACTGAGTTAAAAACTAGAGTTTGTCAACAAGTCACATATGAATCGTATGGTTCAATTCAATAATAATGTTGAACTCATATAACTTAATTGACTTGGATCAGTTATAAAATCAGTTTATACATCTAATAAAATTATTTTACTCTCAATATAAATTGTTAATCTCATTTGTATCTAACAGTTCTAATTTAATAATTATGTAAGCTGTTAAGAAAAATAATGATTAAAATTGAATGTAATTTTTTATTTTTTATTTTTATTTTTATAATTTTTTACACCAATATAAAATGATTCTCGTTTTATATATATATAAGATTTGGTGTAAGACTTATTATTCTTACACCGGTGTAAGATGATCCTGTATATACATGGGGCAGGATCATCTTACACCGGTGTAAGAATAATAAGTCTTACACCAAATCTTAACCATTGATTTTCTGCATCTAACGGTTAATATTTGGTGTAATATTTATTATTCTCACACCGGTATAAGTTGATATATATATATATATATATATATATATATATATATATATATATATATATATATATATATATATATATATATGAGTTATTATTGGAGTAGAACTAAGGGTATCCATAAATGGCTCCAATAAAGAAGGGAAGGGGATGAAGAAAGGAAACAGGAAGAGGCCAAATATTGCTAGAAATTGAATTTTAGCTCTCTTTCAAATATCCGTTAGCTTTTATTAGAAGAGTGTTGAAAATGAGAAATTTTAATCAACATGTTAATTTTGCACAAAAGAGATTAAGGATTTGTAGAAATATTTTTTATTTCTTATTTTTAAAGATTTGTATAAAAAATGACAAAAACTATACAAATCTTTAAAAATAAGAAACAAATTAACTTAGCATACCAAAAACAAAAAAACAAAAAAACAAAATAACTTAATATTTTTATAATTATCATTTATCAATGAAAAGAAAAGAAAAAAACAACAAATATTAGCCCAAATCAAATCCCTCCTACAAATGTTAAAAAGGATGACAGATTGCTGGAACTCTCGGTAAGACAAAAATTGTTAGAAAATAATATAAATTATTAAAAAAAATCTTTATTCAACACTTTGAGATTTTGGGTTGAAGTTGTTCTTTATATAATATTAAATTTTCTTTGACCACAAGACCACTAATTCGATCCTCATTACCCCATATTTTCTAGTGAAATTAAATAAAAGACAAAAGGTAAATCAAAATTTGGGTCTGTGCAATATCCATGCTTCAAGTTCAAAGGGTCATTGCGTAAGTGAGTGTGTAAGAAAATAATATAAACTATAAAAAAGATGCTCACTCAACACTTTAAAATTTTAGGTTGAAGTGATTCTTTACAAAACAACAATTGCTGCAAAGTTAAAAAGAAAGCTAAAGATTTAGCAAGAAAAGAAAAAGAAAACTAAGATGGTGAAGGAAGGGTTCTCGGTGTAATATCTACTTTAGTCTAATAAGAAAATGTTACTTACATTATTTTATTTTTTATAGCTTATAATAATTACGTATATTTTACAGGAAAATAAGAAGAAATAATCACATAAAAATGTGATTAGTATTTTTAAGCTTACTAATTATGCTATAAAATCATAGGATAATATATTATTATTACCAAATAATGTTATTATTAATGTTAATATTATATCTTAAATGTTTATTTCCGTCAATCAATAGTTATCATTTATTACGAATTAATAATTAATTAATAAATTTAATTTATAAAAATAATAATCGTTGATCAGCAAAAATCAACTATTAAAACATGATGGTGACATTAATAGTAACATTATTTGACAGTAATCATATCTTATCCTTAAAATCATATGTCATTTTTTTGTTTTTGTTTTTATTTTGTAGTTTGTTTCCAATAATGTTTTAGATGATATTATCTCACCCGGTTAAAAGATTTATTTAAATTCTTCTTATTAATGGCTATCGATTGTTAGATACGAGTTACCTTAGCGCTTTAATGAGCAAATGGTGGTGTTGCATAATGCTTAAATCAGTGAGTGATTGAGATAAAGTATGCAGAATGAAAAAGTGTTTACTGTTTACCTAATATGATTGATCCTCATCCAATTAAACTTGCATTTCTTACAAGTTCAAACTTACATTAATAGATCTTTTATAGTTCAAATTATGCTTAAAATATAAATTTAAGTGAAAATGAGGACACCAACAACAAAACTCTTCCCTTAAGGCCATAACAAAAGGGTTCTATTTTTGTAGGAGATGAATATCTTCTATTATAGATACATAATATGGTGGAGCCCATCATCTATTAAAAAAGAAAAAAAAAATGATGTCTTAACTTTTTATGTGAGAGAAACATGAGATAATTATCTCATGTAAGATGAGACAACTATTTCCCTAACACAGATTAGTGTTACAGGGTTATCGAAATCAATAATAAAAAAAAAAAAAAACATTATCATTTTTTTTTTTTTTTTTTGATAACAAAAACATTATCATTTAGGTACAGTACAAAGTACAAACTTTAGTCAAGCTGAGTTACCTTGGCCATGTCCCCAAATTTTCTAATTATGGCATTTCCAAGGCCATGAGCATTGTTATCATCGTTTGCTTTGCTATATCACACAAGAGATTGATAATTAACAAACACAAACATTACCTGAAAAGTGAAAACTAAGATTAAACTCAACAAAAGTGATTTTCTTCTCTCTCTCTCTTTCTCTTTTTCCTTCGTTACCAGTTACAGTACCTCGCACTCTCCGCCATCACCATGCAAGCACTTCACACACCGGCCATTTCCCTTCGCGCTTCTCCGTTGGACTCACTTCGCAAATCCGGCAATGGCAGGAAAAGAGGCACCGGCAGCAACAGCAGGAGAGTCTCTTTCGTATCGGCGAGCGTGGTCTCCGCCGCGCCGCAGAGGCAGAAGGACCCGAAGAAGCGCGTGGTGATCACGGGCATGGGTCTCGCGTCTGTGTTTGGAAACGACGTCGACGGTTACTACGAGAAGCTTCTCGCGGGTGAGAGTGGGATCACCCTAATCGACCGGTTCGATGCGTCCAAGTTCCCGACCCGGTTCGGCGGCCAGATCCGCGGGTTCAACGCCCAAGGCTACATCGACGGAAAAAACGATCGGAGGCTCGACGATTGCCTCCGATACTGCATTGTCGCCGGCAAGAAGGCCCTCGAGCATGCTGACCTCGCCGCCGATAAGCTTTCTAAGGTTTCGAATCTGCTTCTTAGATCTGAAGATTGTTTATATTTTTATTTGCTAAGTGTTTATTCTAATTGGAAACCCTATTTCTTCTAAATCACTGTAATTATGTGATGTAATTTTTATAAGAAATTAATTTTATAATTGCTTAATTTGAGTAATGTGATAGTTGAAATTGCTGACGAAGTGAAATTACTGGATTCTGATTTGTTTGCAGATCGATAAGGAACGGGCTGGGGTTCTTGTTGGGTCAGGGATGGGTGGTCTTACTGTGTTTTCTGATGGTGTTCAGGCTCTAATTGAGAAAGGATATAGAAAAATAACACCTTTTTTCATTCCTTATGCTATTACTAATATGGGTTCGGCACTGCTTGGGATTGATCTTGGTTTCATGGGTCCAAATTATTCTATATCAACTGCTTGTGCTACCTCCAATTATTGCTTTTATGCTGCTGCAAACCATATCCGTAGGGGGGAGGCTGATTTGATGATAGCAGGTGGGACTGAAGCTGCTATCATTCCAATTGGGCTAGGGGGTTTTGTTGCATGCAGGGCTCTTTCTCAGAGAAATGATGACCCAAAAACTGCTTCCAGGCCATGGGACAAAGGCCGAGATGGCTTTGTCATGGGTGAAGGTTCTGGGGTTCTGGTAAGGCAGCATTTAAATTGTCCTGACTGTGTTATGAGAACGAATATTTCATGTCATTTTTGTTTTAAATGGTTTATCATCATCATCAAGCGATGGTTTTGGATGATGGTCACTTAAATTGACAATATAAAGATTGAGTTAACTGAGTATGGTAGCTTTCTGCTATTGTAATGGACTGCAGAAAAGTAAATGCTTTTTTTCCAAATTCAATATTTTTTAATCTGGCAATATCAGCTGAGCTTGCAAATTCTATTGCAATCGCTGTGTGTGCTTCTTAATCACTATAATTGTAAGACCTTCGTGAACTGCTTGGAAAATAACACTACCTTTTTCAATATACTCATTCCCCATCCCACCCCCCCACATCTAAACCTCATTTCCTGTGAGTGTCTGAAAATATGGCTGTCTTATATGTTTTTTTTTCTCTACAAGCTAATTTTTAAATCTTAAAAAGAGTACTATAACTTGACAGGTAATGGAGAGCCTGGAACATGCCATGAAGCGAGGTGCACCTATTATTGCTGAATATTTGGGAGGTGCTGTTAACTGTGATGCTTATCACATGACTGATCCAAGATCTGATGGACTTGGTGTGTCTTCATGCATTCAAAGCAGCCTCGAAGATGCTGGTGTGTCACCTGAAGAGGTACTATTTTATTCCTTATACTAGTCTTCCATTTTTTGCTAATTTTATCTGTTAAATAAAATTGTTGGTCTCTCTTCTCCCATTTGATTATTTGTATTTCTCCTCAAGGAACAATTAACTTTAACTTTCCGTTACCTTGCATGCATACTGGGTGTTTTTCATCAATATCTTTTTAGTCCATGATACAATAGGGGATGCCATGTATAAAAATTAGTAAACATCTTTTATATTATAAAGCTGTTGCTATATAGTATAATTTGGAGTTGGTCTCCAAGATTTTCTAGCATTGAGGTTTGTATAAATGGCATGGAGAAGTCAGATTATTGTAGATATCCAATTATATAAATTAGGATGCTCATGATTCATGGTAAGTATGTTTAACAGACTGAACCAACAAATTCAAGAATAAACCCAAAAACAGAGACAGTTTGTATATATTTCTCCAATCAACAGTATCAATTACAAGTAGAAACCAAAACAGTATTTCACCATGACTCTTCCTAATTACAGATCACAAAACGGATTACAAAATAAAGAAAGGAAAGATAGGTTCAGAGGAGTTGGAGAGCCCCTGATATCTCCTAAAAGCCTTTGTCCCAATTGCCCAAAAGATGTCACATTATCCTCCTTGATTCCCTTTTATTCCCATGCTCTAACCGTTTGCTGAGTCAGCTCTAGCACTTGTTGCACCAGCTGATAAGTAGAAAGCATTATCACTTGTTGCATCTGCATTATCACTTGTTGCATCTGCATTATCACTTGTTGCACCTCCTGATAAGTTGAGAGAGTGTAATTCCCTGAAAAGCTGCCTATGGTAAGTCTTTAATTTAGGAGGGGTTGTATCAGTATGTTTTTAGTCAACCAGTACAGGGTGCTGGATGATTAAGAGTGATTTAGGAAACTACCTATAAAACTGGTGTGCCCTAGGAAGAAAGGGAGAGAGGGATGAGAATTAGCACCTCAAGTGAGTAATATCATCAGTGAGAAAGTGGCCTAACTGCCTGCACGCGTGGTACAGGGTGTGGGAAGGAGGGAGAATTTTGTTAGAAGAGATTGAGATGATAAAAGGGGAGGAGAGGAGAGAGAAAAGGATCTACGTAGTGAGAATTGGAGGGAGAGACCGAGGCCTCTCAAAAGCCTTGGGCTAGATGTATTCCATTTTATAGTTTCTGTTCATTTTTTTCTCTTGTAATTCTTGGTACTGACACTGATATTGCATTGATATCAGTAGCAGAGTGATATATACAGCATATTCTTTTTGTGATCTGGTCCAGTTTCTATCCAACTGCTATCGAAGCTCCTGGCTGATCTTGGGAGCTGTGAATGTTGAATGTGCAAATGGAGGAAAGGATGGAAGCTTTGGAAAGAGCTTCAAGAAGCTTGAATGAGGAAGAACAAAGGATCTCGTAATTTAGGATCAAAATCTCCTGGATGTGGGTCGGAAGGTGAAGGAATCAATGGAGGACCAATAGGAATCAACCATAGCCATCAATAGTATAAATGGCTCAGTTGGGCTGAGTTCGGGTATAGCACCAATTATAATAGCTCCACTAATCTCTCCCCTTTCAAAGCCTTATATGGTAGAGACCCACCCATTTTACTGAGAGGAACTAGAGACTCTTCCATGGTGGAAGGCATCAATTAACTTATGGTGGAGAGAAACCAGATTCTGGAAAATTTAAAAAACAATTTGGGTCAGGCAGAATAATGCTATATGTTGATAAGAAAAGGAGGGGAGTTGTCTATGAAGTTGGAGATCTTGGTACCTGAAGATTTAGCCCGATCCCTAGCTAAAAGGGTCAACAAGAAACTCAGTCCTAGGTGTTGTGGTCCATATGAGGTGCTGGACAGGGTGAGACTGGTAGCTTATAAGCTGAAACTTCCAGCGGACAGTCAAATTCACCCAGTATTTCATGCTTCTTTATTGAAGAAATCAGTTTCTGCTTCTGCAGTCAGTCAGTCAGTCAGCCCCTACCCAGCATATTCTCAGAGAAATGAGACCTCAAAGTTCAACCGGATTAGGTCTGAAATATCAGGACTAACATAGATGACGCTACTGATCTTCTGATTAAATGGCAGAATTTTCCTGATTTTGAGAACTCCTGGGAGTCTTTTACCAACATACAAGAACAATTTCCTGACTTTTACCTTGAGGATAAGATGAAACTGCATGTGGGGAATATTATTAGGTAACCTCCCATAAAATTGTACCATAGGAAGAAAGGGAGAGGTGACAGAGAATTAATCCCTCCCTTGAGTATTACCAGTAGTGACATGTGGGAGGAGGTGTGGGAAGGAGGGAGAATTCTGTGGTCAGAGTAAGATGGTAAAAGGGAGGAGAGGAAAGATAAAAGGAAAAAAAGATCTTTGTTGTCATAGAAGTGGAGGGAGAGACCAAGGCCTTTCAAAAGCCTTGTGCTATTAGTATTCCATTTTAGAGTTTCTGTTCATCTTTTTCTGTTGTAATTCAGGGTACTGGTTCTGATATTACACTGACATAAGTAGCTAATTGATAATATAGAGCATGCATATCTTTTTCTTTCTGTGATCTGGTTCAGTTTGTATGAGAGTGATATCAAGAAGTCTGACTAAGAAATGCAGTGTGATTAGAACATAATAAAAACATCAAATGGAAAGTAAGGCTCCATATTGGTGCCACTTTTGCAAACAATGCTTTTATACCCAGTTATTCACTCATCATTCCAAGTAAGAGGGGCTTAGACCACTAACAGAAAGAAAAAAGACTGGCAATTTGTAATGCCATTGCTGCATTCTTTCTTGTCAATTCTACAAGTTAGTTGGAATGTTTAATTAATTTTTAATTTGTATTGTATTACTGATTCATGCATACCGTAAATTAGTAAAATGAAAGCATATTAATTGCTTCTTTTCAGGTCAACTACATAAATGCACATGCAACTTCCACTCTTGCTGGTGACTTGGCAGAGATTAATGCTATCAAGAAGGTTTTCAAGAACACTTCTGGCATCAAAATTAATGCCACCAAGGTATTATCCCACTATTGGCTTTTATTTTCTGGTATAAGCTTGCTGTCTTGCTCTAGATTATAGCTGGTTATATTTGATTTATTCCCTGGCTATGAACTGATGGATCTTTTCTTCATTTGGTATCAGTCTATGATAGGTCACTGCCTTGGTGCAGCTGGGGGTTTGGAAGCCATTGCCACAGTGAAAGCCATAACAACAGGATGGCTGCATCCTTCAATCAATCAATTCGTACGTTTACTTAATTATTTTTGAGGGTTTATGATTATTTTGTGTAAATGTTAGGATAAACTGACAGCATGAGGTTTTATTATCGGCAGATAAATTGTTATTTATCAATGTCGGTATTTTATCCTTTTCTTTCTAGTCATATGGGTTCTATTTCTTGCTTTGGCAAATTTTGTTCCTCAAATTATTGGAAATTGTACATAGGAATTTGCATGTTATCAATTCTTATGAGAACTCATTGAAAGGATGCGAGAATCATTTCACATAGATCCTATTAGACTTTTAGTTTATAGTTGTCTATGGGCTTGTTTGAGCCAGACCACAACAAAGATCAAGTTATTATTGATTATCATCGTATTATTAACATGTCAAGTTGTGTTGTTTCTTGTTGCTGCTTTACTGGGGAGGACAGAAGTGCTGTCTGAGGTTTTAATATATGATTAACCGGACAAATAGTTGGGAAAATATCATATCCTTTAATGTCCTATTCTCTCTACAATGTTCTTAATTTAAAAAATGTTATAGTCACAATACGTCCTTTGTCTCGAGTGCAGAATCCCGAACCTGCAGTTGATTTTGATACAGTGGCAAATGTCAAGCAGAAGCATGAAGTTAATGTTGGTAAGATTCTAAATAATTCAACAACCAAGGTATTTTTCATTTTCAGTTGATAAAGGCCATAAATTGGAAAGCTAATGGGTGATTCTTTTTATTTCAGGCATTTCAAATTCATTTGGATTTGGTGGACACAACTCTGTCGTGGCATTTTCTGCTTTCAGGCCCTGATTTCCCAGCTTCTCTGCACTTCATGTAGAACAACAGTCTTAGTTAATTGAAATTTTGTTCTCTCTACATCATTGAGTCTATTTATTTTATTTGAGTCCATGATATATAAAAGCTGTCGGTCAGTAGTAGTGCATTTTGTGCTAATTTTGACTTGACAGTTAGCTTGAACAATTATTTTCTGTAGAACTTTTTGATTATTGCTCGAAGATTTAATTGGTTTGGAGATATACAGCGGATAGAAATTGTCAAGAGGGCTAGTCTCAAGCATTCTTCTAATTGTTAAGTAAAGATGATTATTATCAGGCATGTCTCTATGATACTTGCTTATTGCTTATTATCAGGCATGTCTATTTGAATCCCATAGTTCCATTTTCTCTATCTTCGTCCTTAATTTGTCAGAATCTTGAATACGTTATGGTACACAATTCATATTCAGAGTGGTTTCACAGGTTTCAAGATGAGCTTGTAATACCTGAAAACCAGTAATGCATATAAATCACATCTCTGTTGTAAGCATCTGGGTTTATCAATTTTTCCCCATCAGATATTCTGCTGAAATGATGCTTGCACATAAATTTCTATACACTATTTTTACAGTACATTTTTTGGGGAACTGTGTGAATTACGTGGTTAATGGGGCTGGTAATTAATTAGTAACCGCTGTAAAAAATATATGGAAAATTTTTGGTGGAAATGTAACACGTTAATGCAAGTTGCAAAATTGCATTAAGAAGGAATGCACGGGCCACTGGGGGATATTATTATATTTATTTATTTGGTACTTTTTTAGTTTATGGATTTTTTATTTTATTTTTTATACATTTTAGTTTATGGATTTTGTTGCACTAATTTATAAGCCATTTCCCCCGCAACTTATTTATAATGTGGTAGAGATTCGTTTTGCGTGCCTTAATTTTTTATTTATTTTTTTGTTTTAAAAAGTGTGGGCCTCACAAAATGTTGTAAGTGTAAGAAAGTTTGTTGTATTATGTTAAAGGATAAAACGAAAACCCTATTCAAATTGTCCAAATTCTACATTGATAAGTTTATTTTATTTTATTGTTTTTTTATTGGGAAAAATGTTTGTTATTTTAAATTACAGAAAGTTATGTCATTTTAAGAGAAACACAGACACAAAAAATTTGAATTTTAAATTAAAAAAAAACCTCCCACTTTCTCTCTCCCATGATTTCTGATTTTCGATGTCTATCTCTCTCTTAAAATGACATAATTTAAACAACAAATCCTTTTTTATTTTGTTAAAAGTACAGTTTTTGGGATGCGATAAAGGCAAAAGTTAGCGTAAACTATGAACCGGACCGAGTGAACCCAACCATTTTCCCGCCACGAGTTCCCGCCAAAACGAAGCCCTAGCCCCTAGCGGGTGAAAAAAAGAAAAGAAAAGTTGTGTTAGTTCCTCCATCACCATTCTCTTCTCTTCACTCATTCTCTCTCATCAGATTCTCCAGTAATGGACGTGACAGAAGAAGTTAGGGCAGCACACAAGCGAGAATTCGCTGATTTCTTGGACCAAGATGTACCTATTCTCTTCTCTTTTCCTATTTTCTTTTTATTTTATTTTATTTTACTTAAGTGGTTGTTATTCAGTTACAACGACGATTTTCGGTTGAATCAGGTGGGAAAGGGAATCTACATGGAAGAGATCAAAGCCCTAATCAGCAACAAGCGCCGCCGCCTCATCGTCAACATCTCCGATCTCCACAACTTCCGCGACTTGGGAAACAGGATTCTCAGGAATCCAAGTGAGTACATCCAATCCTTCTGTGATGCCGTCACCGACGCTGCACGCGACATTGATCCCAAGTATTTGAGCGAAGGCGAACAAGTTCTTGTTGGATTCGAAGGCCCTTTCGTTTCTCGCCGTGTCACTCCCAGGGAACTTCTCTCTGAATTCATTGGTTCTATGGTCTGTGTTGAAGGCATTGTCACCAAATGTAAGCTTAAGTTATTGGTGCAGTTATACTTACCACCATTTCACGCTTATCTGTTTGGTTATTGTTAGATTAATTCGACATCAACACATTTTTCAACCGATAACTAAACAAGTAGTAAGAGTGATAAGTATAAAATTCTCCTAAATTATTTACTAGGTTTTTATTTTTTTGTCATGTGGTAAAATGACTGTGAATTTTGATTCCTTAGATGGCTATGGGACTTGTAAATTTATGAACACACAATTGTAAATTTGAGAAATGATATATATACTCCTGTTGTTTTCATTTATAGGTTCTCTTGTAAGGCCAAAGGTTGTTAGAAGTGTTCATTTCTGCCCCACCACAGGAAAATTCACTACTCGTGAGTATCGAGATATTACATCCAATGCGGGTTTGCCTACGGGGTCTGTTTATCCTACGAGGGTAATCTCGAGCTTCTTCATCTCTAGCATAGTTTATAATTTACCAGATGGGTTAGATTTGATGATTAAATGTGTGCTTGTTGTTGTAGGATGAAGCTGGCAACTTACTTGTGACTGAGTATGGATTGTGCAAATATAGAGATCATCAAACCCTGTCAATGCAAGAAGTTCCTGAGAATTCTGCTCCTGGTCAGCTCCCAAGAACTGTGGATGTCATTGTAGAGGATGACCTTGTTGATGCTTGCAAGCCCGGAGACCGAGTCGCCATTGTGGGGATATATAAGGCTCTTCCAGGGAAAACCAAAGGCGGTGTGAATGGAGTGTTCAGGTAGCTCCAGAAAATATACTGATACTAATCCCTTCCCTTTGTTTCTCTTCTCGCTTTCTTGAACAGAAACTTGATTGATTGATGTGCATGCAGGACTGTGCTCATAGCCAACAATGTTTGTCTTCTTAACAAAGAGGCTAATGCGCCCATCTACAGTCCTAATGACCTGAAAAACATTAAAAAGATAGCTGAAAGAGATGATGCATTTGACCTGCTTGGTAATTCGCTTGCACCTTCTATATATGGGCATTCTTGGATAAAGAAAGCAGTGATTTTATTGATGCTTAGTGGAGTGGAGAAGAACTTGAAGAATGGCACTCACTTGCGAGGGTTAGTATTTTTCTCCTTTTCTCCTTTTATGTTACTTTGCATTTATTTCTCTCTTAATATTGTTTATGAATGAAGTTTATAATGCTGGTCTGTCTTGCTTCTTTTAGTGACATTAACATGATGATGGTTGGTGATCCCTCTGTTGCCAAGTCTCAGCTCTTAAGAGCAATTATGAATATTTCTCCCTTGGCCATATCAACAACAGGTCGGGGTTCTTCTGGGGTTGGTTTGACAGCAGCAGTTACTTCAGATCAAGAAACAGGTGAAACATTCTTCAAGGGCTATGCAGAATTCTATTATTACAACTGTCATCTAAGGAAAAATTGTAATTTCTTTATACCAGGGGAAAGAAGGCTAGAAGCTGGGGCAATGGTTCTTGCTGACAGAGGTGTTGTCTGCATTGATGAATTTGACAAGATGAATGATCAAGATCGTGTTGCTATACATGAAGTTATGGAACAGCAGACCGTAACTATTGCCAAAGCTGGTATCCATGCATCACTTAATGCTCGTTGCAGTGTGGTGGCTGCTGCAAATCCCATATATGGAACTGTAAGTGGCATTCTGTGAGTAATTTCCTGTGTTTTTTAAACAACAAAATCTTACTGATACTCTACTGAATTTTTAATTTCTTTTTAACTTGACTTAGTGGCTTTTATTGTGTGATTCTACAGTATGATCGTTCACTGACTCCAACAAAAAATATTGGACTCCCCGACTCTTTGCTTTCTCGATTTGACCTACTGTTTATTGTGTTGGATCAAATGGATCCTGATATTGATCGTCAAATATCAGAGCATGTCCTGCGTATGCATCGATATCGTTCTGTCGTTGACGGGGGTAAATAAGCAGTTTTCAAATGCCAAAGACATTCTTATACTGGAGACATTTTTTTATTCAAATTAACTTACCCATGTAGGTGAGGCAGCTCTTGATGGGAGCTCAAGATATGGAAGAGAAGATGAAACTGAGACAGAATCGTCTGTCTTTGTCAAATATAACAGAATGCTGCATGGGAAGAAAACTGAAAGAGGTCGCAAACGTGATACGCTTACAATTAAGTTTCTTAAAAAGTATATCCATTATGCTAAGCATAGGATTCAACCTGAGCTGACTAGTGAGGTGATGTGCTTTTCCTATTAATAATAACAACACCATTTTTTTCATTATTGACAATGAATTTCCTTTAATATTTTACAATTTGTCCATTTTAATGAACTTTTTATTCTGCTATATCTATGCAATTGCCACAGCTGATTGGTTCTTCAGAAGTCTGATTATTTGAATGGTTATTATGTTTCTTTTCAATGCATTATATCCACAAGTCACTAGCTCTAATACCTATTAATTGTCCACAGGCATCTGACCAAATTGCCACAGCATATGCTGAGCTCAGAAATGCAGGTTCAAGTGCAAAGGTTAGCATTAGAAATTGCAAACAGCTGAAACCGTATCAGTCATTGTACAAAATGGTTTAAGATTCTCTTGGTGTCTTGCTGGCTTAATGCAGACCGGAGGAACGCTGCCTATAACTGCCAGAACTTTAGAAACCATAATACGTCTCTCAACTGCTCATGCCAAATTGAAGTTGAGCAGAAAGGTACTGGATTTGGCCTATAAAATGCTCTCTTTCAGAAATTTATGATGTCGTGAGAAACATATCCATTTTGATTACTTGTCCAGATGCCATGTCAAATATCTGTTTCAGATATTTAGGATTGTCCCTTTAAAGTTAAAAGTAATTTTTACACTTATTTTTTTATTGTATGGCTGGGGGATGTTGGGAGCAACATGTCACTATGAACCAAGTGTAATGTTATTGGTGGTATCTCTACACCAAATACCCCCAAATTACTTTTAAGTTTGAAAACATAAAACTCATTCTTCCAACAGTAATTCTTTCCAATTCAAGATTAATTCTTCTAAAATACATTTTACCTTAAAATTAATTTTACACCAATTACTCAAACGTGCACTTAGCATCATCATCATTAACTGCAAACTTTTGGTGTTGCGATTGCTATTCTGCTTCTAAGTTGCAACTTATGGTACTTCATCTGCTTGTGCGTTATTGTGTTCAGTAAATTTCCTGATTGAGTTGCAATCTGTCTTGCAGGTTTCAACGTCTGATGTTGAAGCTGCTTTGAAGGTTCTTAATTTTGCAATCTATCACAAAGAACTGACAGAAATGGAGGAGCGTGAGCATGAGAGGGAGAGAGAACAGGAGAAGCGTAGGGCTGAACATCATCCTGGTGAAAATGATGGTCCTGATCGTGGTCCTAAAAATAGAAGGGGGTGAGTGATAGTCTATACTCTCTTTGGGGAAGCTAAATATACTCATTGCAAGCATCTTTTTATCTTAATTACCATATTTTTGTGACGGGGAAATTTATTTATTTCCATATTCTATACCAGAAGCTAAATTAGCATCCTTTCACAATAGTAAGCATGCGGACTTCTATGATATCACTTAAATATTGAGGTTGTTGATGTCTAGATTTCTTAAACTTGCTTGGCCATTAATGAACTCTCAACACCTACTCGTATTTCTTTTTTTCTAGGTCAACATCAGATGCCATGGAAGTAGATGATGCCATGGAAGTAGATAATAACTCAGCAGCCCAACCTGCCGTCACTCTTACTCCTGAAAGGTCTGTCAACTGTCAACCACTCACCTACAATTTTTGTTTTCTTATATTTAATTCCCTGCTCTACCTGTTTCTGATGTGAAATATTTTCCATCGACATGCAGAATCGAAGCATTTAACTCTCTATTTGGTCAGCATATGCGTGCCAACCGCTTGGACCTCATATCTATTGCAGACATAGAGGATGTTATCAACAGAAGGGCAGATTCCACTTACAGCTCGGCAGATATATTACTCCTATTAGAGGTACGATCTTCTGATGAATTTGTGTTGCCATGTTTCCTGTATGAATTCCGATACTAGAGTCTTTTGTCTTTTCTGAAATTTCAGAAGTTGCAAGATGACAACAGAGTGATGATAGGTGATGGAATGGTGCATATGATATCATAAAATGTTAAGATGGGTGCACAATATATTGAACAAAGATTCAGGCAGGTATGCTATTTTGTAAATTGATATTATTTTATTTTTCATTGTTGAGATGGATGTCTTCATAATTCATTTGTTGAATAGACTTTTACTCAGTTACGGCTCTAAACATCCGATTCTCTCTAGGCCAGCAAATAAAAAATAAAATTATTGGGAGTGATGAAAGCATGGGTTTTAATTGTTTATTTGATGTGTAAGATTCCATAGTTTTGCAATTATAAAACTTAAATTTCATTTTAACAAAGAACGAATTTCAGGGAACAGAATCTGCTGCTAGCGTAAAATGCAGTCTACATCGAGGGAGACTTGAGAAGGATTTTCAATTTTTATAGTTTATTTATTTGCTTCCTGGGAGCTCTTTGCTAATACCGCAACAAAGAGATGACCTATAGTTAGTTTTTTCTTTTTTGGGCTTTGGCCCCATTTCTGTACTAAAAAAAAAAAAGTTGACCCATATGATTGCGTTGGCATATTCATAATTTTTTGGGTCATAAGAGAACTTTGTCATTCCCTAAGTTTAGTGCTGTCCATAATTTGACACCACCGATGTCTTAATGTATTTCAGTAGTGCTAATTGCTAAGTATTTGTGTGTAAACGCCACTTCTAGAAACGAATTTTTTTTGGGCATATTCTAGAAACGAACTTTATGTTCCCCTCACTTTGCGGTTGTCCATTTTACTTGCCACCTATTAATTGACTGCCCATGTTGCAAAGGGCTGTTGCAATCTTTTTCTCTTGGGATAACGCATACATGACAAATTAGAAGTCCATCTGGATTATGGATTACTATAGAGACTGGGGCTGTATAAAGGACTGTAAAACTGTCAGAAGAAATGCTTTGACAGATGATAGACAAGATTACCAGACCACAATTCTGACATAATGTTATCCGGCAATGAATAACTGATGTGTAAGCGGATGCCATTAATTTGCATAAAGTCAGAAACGTGGAAGCTTAGTGTCGTCTCCAGTAAATACCAAAAAGCGAAAAGAATATGAGCCCCTGAATACTACTATGAATTCGAAAATTGCTTACCTGTGATGCATCAATTGACTTTTGTGGCTGTTCTTAAAGCACAATGCAGAAATTTTTTTTTTTTTTTTTTTTTTTTTTTTACAATTATTGAATTTCTTGAAGGCAAGTTTCATTTAATTAATAGAACGTACCCGGCAAAAAGATAAAAATAATATTATGAACAATATTATTGATGAGGGCAATTTCATCAACACAAAACACATGCGTAAAACTCGAAAATAGTGAAAAGTTAGACAGAAATTAGCCCAAGACCTATTTACTTGTTTGTACCTTGAAATTCTGATAGTCCACGGCTAAATGTATAATTCAATCAGGCTCCAAGATTGGTTCTTAAAATTCTACTATTCCTGAGCAAATCAAACTTGTCAATCCAGTGATGGTAGAGATGAAATAGCTGCTGCACATAGCGCCTCTGTTTCCCTTGCCCTTCTATCCTACACTTGGGTATTATCTTGCAACACTCGCTACGTGGCTATCGGAGTGATTTTCTTACACCGTTTGGAATGCATTTAGTGGTTCAGTGGCCTGGAGGTAATTTAATAAGTCCTGGTCGGATGGACTAGACAGTTGTGGATTTTGATTTTCTTGTTTCTTTTCGCATCTGTCATTTGACATTAACAGTGCTAGCAAAAATTCCCAAAAGTTAGCTATATCTGTATTCTTCAGTTAAATTTAGTTGAATTGATACAATATTAATGGCACAATGCAAATTTGTGTAATCCTTGGACGATTATCAACATGGCTTCATGCTATTTTGCCTTGTGCCTTTTTTTTTGTTTCCTGTTATCTTCCCTCGCCTCCCCTCCCCTCCCCTCCCCTCCCTTTTTTATTTGGTCTAATTGAACAAGATTGCAACTTCATCGTACCAATCGGTGGCTGCTTGCTTTTGTGAGTATAGATTCTCCTTACGTAGCACCGATATCGACACGGGACACGTGACATGATACGACACGACATTCCGACACGTTAATTCTAAAAAATATTAGATTTCGACACGTTAAGACACATTTTGATATTAAATAATATTTTTAATTTATGTAGTGTATATTATATTTAATATTCAATAATTTAACAAAAAAATGAAACTAAACTTAAAATATTCATCAATTTTGCAAAGAAACATAAGATATCCTAAATATTTATATTAATGGTAATCGTAATCCAACGAATCTAATAGTAAGAACTAAAAACTCAACGCAACGCAACCTTTGAATTTTTTTTGAATTTCTATAACACATGTTTGAGTGTCGGGGAGTGTCGGGAAGTGTCGGACACGACACGTCAGGATTTTTGAAGTATTGGTGCTTCATAGGATCCTCCGACTTGATTACTGATTATGAAGCATGAACAATTTAAAAGAAGAGCTGTGTTCGTCTCAAAAATGTATTTAAAAAATGCCTAATTTTTTGCAACACTTATTATAATCTTTCCGTGTCAGGGTTAGCGCTTCTTAAGCTGATTGAATCATTGCACACAGATACAACCTCAAATTGGATTTGTTGACTGCAATGTCATAAAGGTTATTTTGTTTCATCCTTTAAGCTTCGGCCAGAATTGTTGAATGCGATCTAGCCTCATGGTGTAATATGTATCGTGCGCTTAAAAATGTCAAAAGTGCAGTATTTAAAATCAGTAATAAATACCCAATTGGTGTTAGCTCTGTTAACATAGACTGAGTACAAATTTAATTCCCACCAAATATATCTTTAGGGAGGGGTGAGGAATTTAACTGTAACTAAACCAAATTCATTTGCTTGAGATTGCAAATCATTGGGGAAGAAAATCTGAACTGATTTGAGTTTTCTTTTACTATAGTGTGAAATGGTTTACTATTATGATTTATGTTTCTGAAACCTCAAATGCTAACCTTCTCATAAGAGTGCGCTGATTAGGAGGAGGTAATCGAGGAAAATTAACAGAGAATAAGTATATCTGATTAATAAAGTAAATGTGTAAGATGAAGTAATAATCATAAATGCACTTTCTGAGACCTCAAATTCTAATCTTTTTACTGCTTATAATCAGCAAAAGAAATTAAGATCATACAATAACTGAATAGGTATGAATTGAAACCATAAACTATGTCCATCTAGTTGCTGTTTTAATGTTTCCTTGTTAAAAAACTTCTTTGTTTCACAAATTTGAACAAGAAGTCATAAACCTGTCAACTGATTCAGGCAACAGGGTCTAGTTAAGAACAAGATACTTCTGGATCACACTAATAATTATGGAAAAGTTTGAGGATTGCAAGAGAGGCAGCCATGTACGTGCATTGGTAGCACCAACATCAAGAGTTTATTTGTCAAACTCCCATATCACCCCTCCATCTTCTGCAAAACCAAAATAAAAGACAATATCAATATTCTCTAATTAAAAATTTAAACAAATAAGAATAAAGTCACTACACCAGTTTTCCAAACATCTAAAACTCTGTCATTTAACATAGAATATTAGCCTCTTAACAGATGAAATAACTATAACTGACATATTCATGAACCTGAAGCAAGCTTGCTGAAAATGCATTGAACATCAGACAACAATAATTATGAACATTGAAAGAGCAGCAAATGCATAGCTTGGTAACTGAAAATTTTCCAGTCTAAAAAGTATAACACATATAAAAAGCCATGTCCGGTAGTACCCAGGTTTCTGGGTGCTAATCCATTCATGTTTGGCCAATTTCATTTCTTAAAGAAAAATATACATGAGCTGGGATGAATTGAAAAATTCAAAAGGTAGTTCCTCATGAAAGTAGAACTATACCAATTCTGACAGAACTTTAGGACTAGTAGAAAATTATAAATGTTTCCAAGTTCCGTGCAGAAAAAACCAGAATTTCATATTCGGAAACAAGGGAGCGCAAATAGCTAAATTAGTCAAATTGCTTATACATGTGTTCTATCAATCAAACTAGTACCTAAATTTACCCACTAGTAAATCTGGTACTATAAAGCTTCTGCTATGAGTCTATAGTAACGGATTGCATGAATCAAGCATGTTACTTCCAGGTCATATGATATAACAACTAAACCAACTGTTGTGCCAAAATAATATTAACATTTTAAGAACTAAGATACACAAAACTATATCTTTCAAGGAATAAATAATAAATTGAGGGTTCATTAAGAAATCACAAATAAATAAATAAACAAAGGAAAAATGTTTGTCATTTTAAACAACAGAAAGTTATGTCATTTTAATTAAAAGAGATACAGACACAGGAAATTTAAATTTTAAATTAAAAAAGACCACTCACTTTCTCTTTCCCAATTTCCATTTTTATGTGTCTATCTCTCTATTATGTCATTTAAAATGACAAACACCAAAACTAACAAAATAAATAGAAAAAAGACCTTTAACTTTCTTGTGAATCCAGGCCTCCACTAACATTCCAGCGCCAACTCCACCAGCAATACATGCACTACAGAATAAGATGGCAGAGGGTAGTGGCCATTTAGGAAGATAATAATATTCTGGAATTTGCCTAACTCTCTTGGGAAGTCGTTTCTTCAAAGTTGGTTGAACACTCGGATTTCGCTGCATATCACCACCAACAGCTTTCCAATCCACCCCTTTCAACGGATCTTTCGCATCTTCGCTTCCCATAACACCGTCAATTTAGATAATACAATTAAAACCTGCGTTGAATGTGATGTGGTTAGCACAGATTATAGAAATTGAAAAATTCAAAACCGCTTGGTTTTATGACATAGAACAGTGAGATGAAGAATGACGACTGAGAAGATCCAAAAAAGATTGAATGAAATACCAAAGATGTTGGAAGAAGCGGCAAAGGGTGAGCGAGGTCCGAACCCTGAGGGAGAGATAAGGGTTTATGTTTCGAACGCAATCGTATTTTTGGTTATTTAACTGGGAAAAATGATTCTCGTGTTAAAATTAGTATTTTTTTTTTACAGTAACATCTCTCATTCTTATTCTTATTCGTTTTTTAATATAAAAAACGATATTAGCTCTTTTTTATTTAAAATTTAAATTAAAAAAAATTAGTTTTTTTTTTATGATATTTATTGTATGTTTTTTCTCTAAACCTTTTAAAGGATAAACACCAAACTCTTTTTAAAACTAAACTATTTTTACAGTCTCAACGCAATTAACATTTTTTAATACTATGTGAGGTTTAGGGTTTATATTCCCAATAAATAGACTTCTATTTTTACTAAAATAAAACGTCATTCTTAACTATTTTTAAATGAAAAACATAAAATATTCTTATTATCACTTTTTCCTATGATCATATATTTTGAGAAATATATAATTATAATATTAAAAATTATTTTTCTTTTTTCTCTCTTCATAAACTTTTTAAATTTTGTCTGCTCAAAAATATGATCCAACAGTTATTAGAGTGGTAGTGAATTGGTAATAGAAAAAAAGATATATCAATATCTTAGGCTATTTTTGCCCCTCATTAATTATTTAATAACCATTCTGCCCCTTATTCAGAACTATCTACCAATCTTCCCCTCTTTAATCGATTAAGTCAAAAATTTAATCGATTAAATGGTCAAAACAGACAAAAATCGTTGACTTGAAGATTTAGTCGATTAAATCTCCTTATTTAATCGACTAAATCTCTCATGCATAAGATTGTTCTTCTGATAAAGAGGAAGATTTAATCGATTAAATCTTCATTTGACCATTTAATCGATTAAATATTCAATTTAATCGATTAAAGAGGGCAAATTGGTAGATAATTTACAATAAGGGACAAAATAGTTATTAAATAATTGATGAGGGGCAAAAGGGTGAAAAAACCCAATATTCTACCCATAAAGAAAAATTTTCGCTTACAAACTCTTATAACTAAATCTTAACAGTTGATTTACGTCAATGAGACGGTTATAATTTATCAGATCAAATTTATTAATTAATTATTAATTTTTAATAAATTATAACCGTTAAATTAGTAAAAATTAACAACTAAGATTTTACGAAAAAATTTGTAAATATAATATTCCTCGTTATAATTTAACACTTTCCAAAAAAGAAATTATAGTTTAACATCATATACTGTTTTATTTATTTAACATGATATACTTACTTAACATGTAACTAATTTAAACTCTTTGATATATTAATTTTTATTTTAAAATAATGAAGACAAAATGTTCAATTGAGAGAGACAAAAAGAAAAGAAAAAAGTAAAAAAAAGAGAAGACAAAATATACCTTATTATGGAAATAAACAAAATTTTACACTTGATATAATTAATATAAACATAACTTTAATATAAAAAAATGATATTTGATTAAATAAATATTAAGTAGATTAAATAGTATTTAATTAAACAAATAAATAAAAATCATGCAAGAAAAAATGAGTTTGAGAATTGAGAAGGCTAACGTGTTGGTGTGTGGAATACGTGGCAGAGTTATAGCGTCATGTTTGGGAGTCTGGAAATTACAAGAAAACTCTGTTTCACAGTAACAGAGTGTCAATGGCTGCTCCTCTTATTGTAAGAACTCCCACATTCCACACCCTTCGATCTCACACTCACCAACACCCTCTCAACAAACACTTAACTGCATCCTCTTCCTTCAAGACCAAATCTCTTTCCCTCCTCAACTTCGCAAAGGTAACACATTATGTCATGTTTGGTTTCCAACCAAAGTGTTGGATTACAAAACGCGTTAATTTTTTGGTTTTTCCTGCATATTGTGCATGCCAAAAGCATCTTGTGTGTTGTTGTAACGTACCCTTTATTGTTTGTTGTTTGAATTCTTGGATGCTAGATGGAAGGAAGTGAAATCACTGAGCAAGTAGCAGAGAAAGCAGGGGAGGATTTGAGTGTGAAGAAGAAAATTTTTGTTGCTGGTGCTACTGGTAGCACTGGAAAAAGAATCGTTGAGCAGTTACTTGCAAAGGGTTTTTCTGTTAAGGCTGGGGTTAGAGACTTGAACAAGGCGAGGACCACCCTTTCCTCTAATAACCCATCTCTTCAAATTGTAAGTTTTTCCATTCTCTTGGTACAATAGGCCAATCCAATCCTTATTTTTAAATACCAATTTTTATTTTTATTTTTATAATGCTGTTTAGTTGTAGCAGAAAGGTTGTTCCTTGTGATTGAAAAAAGTTATGATTTCTAGTATGGGAAATAATCTCTTAGCAAAGATGTAAGGATAAGCTGCTTAAAATCAAACCTCGTAAGTTGGGCACTGGGGTTTGCCCTTTAATGCTGTTTAGTTGTGATTGGATGTATATGAGTAATTTGATATGAAATTTGTGTGTATATGAATGAATTGGTGTATAACTTGGTGTATATAAGAGAGTTCATGTGCAGGTGAAAGCTGATGTTACAGATGGTTCTGACAAGCTAGCTGAAGCCATTGGTGATGATTCAGAAGCAGTAGTATGCGCCACTGGCTTTCGGCCAGGATGGGATTTGCTTGCTCCTTGGAAGGTTTGTCAAATTTTTGTTAATGTCTTAGTAGAATACTAGAATGGTTAAATAAATGTGTAACCATTTTGTCATGTTAGTATGCCTCACTTTTAAATTTTAATATCAGCTGGCTTTGATTTGTTTTAGAAGAAAAAATTGACCCTATGAATTAAGGGTGAGGTGATAGTTGAGTGAAAATTTTCATTGATTCTGAATCTGTGATGGTAAAAGCTCTGGCGAAGTTACCGAAGTAGGCTACACGATATGTATTTTTGGAGTGTTTTCATTGTTTAAAGTTTAAACTGTTGATTCCTCTTTCCCTCCTTGTTTTATGGGTGTGGAACTGTGAAAGAGGTCTAACTAGGATCTTTGTTTCTTCCGTGTCTATATTCTGCACTTTGGTTCATGCTGTAGCTCTTGCTTTAATAACTAACTGACATCATTTTGGATATTAGTAGTAGTTGTAAAGAACTAATTCAACCTAAAAGCTTAAATTATTAGGTGAAGACCTTATTAATGGTTTTATATTAAATTTTTGTAAAACGTCCCCTCACTCAAGAGTCCATTGGGCTTGAAGGGTGGACAATGCATAGGCCTTGTCTAGCTATATAAAGAAACTCCACAATATTTAATCATTTATTAATAAAATGGGACTGAAAGGATCAAACTCGTGACCACTTGGTAATGGAGACTGCGATATCATTTAAAGAACCAATTTGACCCAAAAACTTAAGCTGTTAGGTGAATGCCGCATTAATGATTTTATATTATATTTATCTAACAGGAGTTGGGGATGTTGATGGAGAACCACTAGGATAATTTTCTTCTTCTTAGATTTGCAAAATCTTATGTATTGCCCTGTGCATGTACTTTCAGATGTTTAAGAATTTCCATATTTACATTCTTCACTTGTGAAGAGATAAAATATAAGTATTACTGATTTGAAACATTTTGTGTCCTTTAAATAGGATGAGTTCATAAGAAAATTAATTATTTCACAAAGAAAACCACCAATAAAGCAAAAGATCATTGTAAGCTAGGTGGATTATTCTGTCTCTTGGTATTATTCAGTGCTTTCATATAATAAAGTGATAAATTATGCAGGTTGACAATTTTGGGACAGTAAACCTTGTTGAAGCATGCAGGAAACTTAATGTTAACAGATTTGTTCTTATCAGTTCCATTTTAGTTAATGGAGCAGCTATGGGACAGCTACTCAATCCAGCTTATATCTTTCTCAATGTTTTTGGACTCACCTTAGTAGCAAAACTACAGGCAGAACAATATATCAGGAAATCCGGTATAAATTACACGATAATTAGACCTGGGGGGTTGAGAAACGATCCTCCTACTGGAAATGTTGTTATGGAGCCAGAGGTATTGCCTACATTTCTCACTTTCTATTACATTTCCATAGCAGAATCTAGTTTTACATGTTTGTACAACAATTGTGGAAATATTTATTTTTCTTTGTATCAGGACACCCTTTATGAAGGTACAATATCCAGAGATCAAGTAGCAGAAGTAGCTGTTGATGCATTGGCTTATCCTGAGGCATCTTATAAAGTTGTTGAGATAGTCTCTCGCCCTGATGCTCCTAAAAGATCATACCTTGATCTTTTTGGTTCCATAAGGCAACGATGATTTCTGAGTTTAGGACTTGATAGCAGATAAGCGAATTGGTTTCCCTTGTTTCTGTGCTTTCTGGTGGCAAATGTGTACCCTACTTTTTTCCCATGTGTGTTGCTTCATTAAATTGGTATGCCAGAGTAATATGTATAAATATTTACACACATCTTTTGTTTTATTTTTTGTACATTTCTCTTTCCTTCCATTAAAGGTTAGTAAAGAATTCACTTTAAGTACTCCTGGTTAAAGCTACTTCTATTTAGGTATACTAGTTGAAACCTCGATAAGAAAGCCATTGAAATTATTATATCTGGAAAATTCTGATGAGCTCAACCTAATAGGATTAGTGATAGCAAAATGCCAGAATGAACATGGACTCTTAAACCTTGTTCAATCTGGGAGGATCATGGTTAATGTAGGATTTATATATTCGCAGAGTATATGGAAGAGACAGCCACAAGGGGTGATTGATCATTGTGCTCCTAGAGGCTTGAAGCTAAAGGGGTGGTGTTTGTGTACAATGACCAATGTTGTTAAAACGTAGAGTCTACCCCGAAACGGTAGGGGTGAGCAAACACGTAAAAACTTGAAATGTAAACGAAACGTAAGAGTTTATTACATACCCAAAAAAAATAAAATATCCAACATATAACCAAAACACACCAAACCAAGACAGAGAGAGGAAAAAAAAACCTTGCGACTTGCGAAAGAGAGAGCAGACAATACCACCAACAAAGAGACCCAAACCCAATACAATACGGTATGTGAAAATTAATAAGAGATGTGTAGAATATTCTAGAGCTTTTTACTTGTTTCTAGCTACTTGTCCCTTTGAGTAGTGTGATGCCTCTTCGGTTACTGTGTATTTTATTTATTACTTCAACTCCTTAACTATCTTGTAATCTGTATATAAAGATCCCTTTGGGTGTCAATCAATATATGAAAAATACATTTCAGTCTTATATTTCATCATGGTATCAGGAGCAGGTTATCCTGTGGTCATCTTGTAAACCTCCACGTTTCTTTCCGTTTTTCATTTTTTCACTGTTTATTAAAATAACTCAGAAACCATATCTGGACCCCTCCAATCACGAAACCAAGGCCACCATTGGACTCAGAAGCCATTTCCGAGTCGACCCACGTCAGCCCCGTCGCCGGAAAGTCAGCCACGCGCCGCCTCTGCAGAACTGCCTCTCCGGCGCGTGTGAGCCACGCGCCGCCCTGCCGGCCTCCGTTTGTCACGCGGCTTTCACAGAACGGCTCGCCTGGCCTTCCTCTTCCTGTTCTGGGGGTTTAAATCACGATTGGAGCACTCTTCTTGCTGGGTCCAGTTGGTTCCTCTTCGTGAATAGTGTCTCTGAACGATTGGAGTTCCTCTTTTTTTGTTTTTGTTTTTTTATTTTGAACAATGGAAGTTGAAAATATTGATGCTGAGAATAAGCATTCTGAAAAATCATCCGGTAATGTTTCCGGTGTCTTTCCTCTTCCCTGTTCTTCGTCTTCCGGAGACAACCCAGCTATACAGATTACTAACCACCGTTTAAACGGTAAGAATTATGTGCAATGGCATCAATCTGTCAAGCTGTTTATCCAAGCAAAAGGGAAAATGGGGTATCTTGATGGAAAAAAGGAAAAACTCGAAGCTGATGAACCTGATTATGATAAATGGATGACTGAAAATGCCTTGGTCATGACCTGGTTGACTAACTCCATGGATCCTGAAATCAGTCAAACTTATTTGTTTCTTGATACGGCTCAAGAAATTTGGGATGCCGTTAAAGAATATTATTCTGACCTGGGCAATGCTTTTTAGGCTTTTGAACTCAACACCAAGGTAAGAGAGTTACATCAAGAGGGGATGTCTGTGACTGAATACTTTCTTGCTTTAAAAACTCTGTGGCAGGAGTTGGATCTTTATGATGCAGCAGATCTTCAAGGTTTAGAAGCTAATGCAAGGTTTAAAAGTTACTTAGAGAAGAGACGTCTCTATGATTTTCTTGCTGGCCTTAATCGTGATCTTGATGATGTTCGTGGAAGGATATTGGGTCAGAACCCGTTACCTTCTATTGCAGCTGCGTTTTCTATGGTACGACGAGAGGAACTTCGCCGAAAGGTAATGTTGGGAGACAAGAACTCTAAATCCTCCGATGTATCTGCCTTAGTAGCAAAACATACTCCTCGTCCCCCTAATGATGCAAAACGTTCTGACCGATGGTGTTCTCATTGCAATAAGAGTGGTTACACTCGCGAAAAATGTTGGAAAATTCATGGAAAACCACTAAACTGGAAAACAAAGGGGATGAACAAGAGTCGTGCTTATCAAATCTCTTCTGATGTTAAGGGTGAGGGGTCTTGTGCTTCTCCAAATTCCGATGGTGTATTCATCCCTAAAGCTCAGTATGAGCAATTTCAGAAGGTGATGTCTCAATCTGCTGAGGCAACTAGTCATGTTGCTCAACAAGGTATGGCATTCCATGTTGATCATAGTAGTCGTCGGATTCTTGATTCGGGAGCTTCTGATCATATGACAGGTAATGCATCCCTGTTTTGTTCTTATACCCCTTATTATCACCAGTCACGAATAAGGACTGCTGATGGTAGTTTCTCTAATATTGCGGGAAAGGGATCCATTAAGCTCTCTGAACATATTACTCTGAATTCTGTCCTTCATGTCCCTTCTCTTACTTGTAACCTTATCTCTATTAGTAAACTTTCCTCTGAATTGCATTGTGTTGCTAAATTCTCTGCCAAAACCTGTGTTTTTCAGGAACAGGATTCGGGGCTGATGATTGGCAGTGCTAGAGAGGAAGAATGGCTTTACTATTTTGAAGAAGATTCTATTGAAAAGAGATTTTTTGCAAATCACTCTTTATGTTTATCAGACGATTGTAATGATGTTTTGTTGTGGCATCGTCGTTTAGGACACCCAAATTTCTTTTATCTTCAAAAGCTGTTTCCAAACTTATTTATCAATAAAAAACCAAGTTCCTTTTTTTGTGATGACTGTCAGTTTGCAAAACACTCTCGTGTTTCTTATTTTCCTAGAGATTATTATGTTTCGTCTCCATTTACATTGATTCATAGTGATATTTGGGGCCCAGCTCGTGAAAAAAATATATCTGGAACTCGTTGGTTTATTACCTTCATTGATGATCATTCTAGAGTATGCTGGGTATATCTTCTAAAAGATAAGTCTGAAGCTGCAGCCACTTTTAAAAACTTTCATGCTATGGTATAAACTCAATTCCATACCTCTATCCAAATCCTGCGAACTGACAACGGTACTGAATATTTTAATTCTGTTCTTGGTGATTACCTAACCAAGCAAGGTATTATCCATCAAAGTTCTTGTCCTAACATCCCTCAACAAAATGGGGTGGCTGAAAGAAAAAATAGACATCTCATTGAAGTTGCTAGAGCCCTCTTGTTTACAATGCATGTCCCTAAATACCTGTGGGGGGAGGCTGTCTTGACTACCTCATATCTCATCAATCGGATGCCCTCTCGCGTCCTGAATTTTCATTCTCCCATATCTTGCCTTACCCGCTCTTTTCCCTCCTTTCGGGCTCTCTCTTCCCTTCCTTGGCTGCGTGGTTTTTGTTTATATTCCTCCACACTAAAGGTCCAAACTTGATCATAAGTCTGTTAAATGTGTCTTCATATGATATCCTCCTAATCAAAAAGGTTACAAGTGCTACTCACCTTCTCTTCGAAAGGTCTTTGTTTCTATGGATGTGACTTTTTGTGAAACACAATCATTTTTTCCCTCGACTTCTCTTCAGGGGGAGTCTATTGGTATAAATGAAGACAAGTCTTGGATTCCAAATAATTCTACTGTCTTACCTTTACCCTTGGAAACATCTGTTGTTTCTTTAACTTTGGAGTCAGGGGAAGTTAATGTACAGGAGACAAGGACAACAACTGTACCAGAGACTGGAGATCCTCCCGGTAAATGGGGAAAATTCTACAGCATGCGTAAATCTCCTCAAGATCCTCTAGACTGCCAGGATTCTGACCCGAGTCCTAGTTCCATCAATCCACTTGAGAACACTGGAACAGCTGACCTAGATGTGTCCATTGCCCTTCGAAAAGGTACTAGATCTTGCACTGCTCATCCTATTTCTCATCACATTTCATATGAAAAGTTATCTCCAGTTTTTCGTGCTTTCAACACTATATTAGACGGTACAAAAATACCAAAAAATACCCAAGAGGCACTTAATGACCCTAAATGGAGGGATGCAGTCTTTGAAAAAATGGATGCTCTTAAAAAAAATGGAACTTGGGAGTCCGTGGCACTTCCCAGAGGAAACAAAACTGTAGGTTGCAAATGGGTGTTCACAATAAAATTTAATGCAGATAACAGCATCAACAAATATAAGGCCAGATTGGTTGCCAAAGGATTTACTCAGACTTATGGGATAGACTATCTGGAGACGTTCGCTCCCGTTGCCAAACTTAACTTTATCCGAGTCTTACTATCACTTGCTGCCAACCTTGATTGGCCCTTGCATCAATTGGACGTAAAGAACGCTTTCTTAAATGGGGACTTACATGAGGAAGTTTTCATGGATCCACCACCTGGTTTTGAACAGGGAGATGGTTTAGTATGCATGTTGAAGAAATCTCTTTATGGACTTAAACAATCCCCTAGAGAGTGGTTTGAAAAGTTTACTCGTGTTGTTAAAGAAAGAGGATTTATCCAAGCTCAGACTGATCACACTTTATTTTTTAAACACTCCGATAGTGGCAAAATTGTTATCCTCATTGTTTATGTTGACGACAAAATTGTCACAGGTGATGACTGGGAGGAAATAAAATCTTTAAAAGGGGGTTTAGCTAGTCAGTTTGAACTAAAGGATCTTGGATCACTCAAATATTTCCTTGGAATGGAAGTTGCTCGTAGCAAGGCGGGAATTTCCTTATCTCAGAAGAAATATATTCTAGACCTGCTACAAGAAACAGGTATGCTTGGGTGCAAGCCTGCAGAAACTTCAGTTGAACCCAATATTAAATTGGGAATTGAAGATGGAAAAGATGTTGACAGGGAGCAATACCAAAGGTTGGTAGGGAAGCTGATCTACTTATGTTGACCTGGAGAAGTAAGAAACAAACTGTTGTTGCCAGAAGCAGTGCAGAAGCAGAATTTCGGGCGCTAGCCCATGGCATTTGTGAAGGAATCTGGTTAAGAAGACTCCTTGGAGAATTAAAGATATCTTATTCTCTACCTGTG